GTAGGAGAAGACACGGCCTTTGAGTCAGGCAGACAGGACTCAGTGCATGTGACAGAATGTCAGAGCCTGGACCAGGCAAGGCCATGCTGGTCAGGAGCACGAGGAGCTGAAAGAACAGTGGCGATAGCTGGGAGTAAGAGAAACCAAAGAAAACCGAACCTGGTGCTCCCACAACTTTCAAGATCAAAAGTTATGCACGCCACGAACCACTGCCAGGTTGTTCTATTCGGGCATTCGTGTTTGCTTGGTGTGAACAACTTTTAAGAAATGAGTTATTCGTTGTTCTCTATTATTCTCCTGCGGTCAGAATTAGGAATCTACCATTCTTCCTTGTTACTCCCGCAGTGCTCAGAGATGCTCAACAACATTAAGCGGGGAACTGACTGGGAGTTAAAACCGTAAGTCCAAAGGGGAAGGGACAGTGACAACACCCAGAGGAGTGGGTAAGCACGGGAGCTTGTGAGGAAAGGTAACAGGTTGAACAGAGGAGGAGGAAGAGAGTTCTGGAATTCAAGTGGCAACGATCATATCACAAAGACGCCCAGGGGGTTGCTTTAGCAGAGGCACAGACATAGAAAAAAAAAAAAAAACAGCCAGGGACTGTTGAGCAGTTTGTGAGGAAGGAGAGTTCAGTCACATCCAACACAGCCTCACCCAATAGCAGCGGAGTATGAGCCATCTAAGTTCTGAGAAAAGCTCCAATAGCAACTAAGATCATAGGAGGCAGAAGGTGTGGAGGTCAGCAACTTTCCTCTAAGTAACCAAGTTCCACCCTTCTAAAGCTACATCCCAAGAAAGCTACACGAATAATCCGTTTCAATGTAGCTCTTCCCTAAGCTACTCAAATGAATAGTGGGTCAATTTTACACCCATCAAAAGCCATTACAAAAACTCGCCCTTAAAAAAACACTCCATTTTTTGGTGCCAATTAGAAGAAAAGTTTTAAACCCCAAACTCTTTTGCATTTAGCATGAACTATTAAGACATAGATCACAGGGCCAGCGCTGCGGCTCACTAGGCTAATCCTCCGCCTTGCAGCGCCGGCACACCGGGTTCTAGTCCTGGTCGGGGCGCCAGATCCTGTCCCAGTCGCTCCTCTTCCAGGCCAGCTCTCTGCTGTGGCCTGGGAGTGCAGTGGAGGATGGCCCAAGTGCTTGGGCCCTGCACCCGCATGGAAGACCAGGAGAAGCACCCGGCTCCCAGCTCTGGATCAGCACGGTGTGCCAGCCGCGGCGGCCATTGGAGGGTGAACCAACGGCAAAGGAAGACCTTTCTCTCTGTCTCTCTCTCACTGTCCACTCTGCCTGTCAAAAAAAACAACAACAAAAAAAAAAAAGACATAAATCACATCACTAATTCCCAACCTGTAGAAATTACCCCATTACCCCATGTGGGAGACTCTCTTGGAATTCAGTATAAGGAGAATGTCTCTCCCTCCTGCAGTAGCCTATGTGACCGATGTTACTGTCTTCTTAACTTCTGTGTGCTTGGAAACCCGAGATGCTCTTGGAAACCTCAATGCTATTCTGTCTTGTGCTCTCTGATCCAAAGCAAGTATCATGAGGGCGAGTTCAAACTCAAAGAAAATAGTACCTTTGGTTAAGCAGCACATAGTAGGCATTAGATAACTGTTAGCTCCTTATTAGTCTCCTTTTCAATCTGATAATGAGAAAATATAACTAATCACAGTTGGCACATCTGACAGCCAGAATGCCCAAGGCCTCATTTCACTTTCAATTACAGCAGATATTATCATAGTTGGCATTACTACTTCCTTCGTCTTTTTCGATCTTGTTTTTCCTTTTAATTCATACTGTGAAACTCTTATTTAGTAGGCCTTTCTGTCAGTAAGCCATCTTAAATTATGTTTTGCAGATATGGGACACATGCCATTCTTTAACGTATAAACTGCTCTCAAATTGACACACAATGAAATATTTTACAGCTAATAAAAATGGCAATCATAAAGCTATTCAGAAATATGGCAAATTTCTCAGATATAATGTTCATTTGACCATAAAATGCTACATATTCTCTAACTGTAGCCATGTAAATATTTGTATTTTAAGGAGATATAAAGGAATTTCTACTTCTAGCCAAAATGTAACAACAGGGACCAAATTCACCCTCCTAAATGAAATAAGCAAAAAACGTACAAAATATAAGGACAAAGCTTTTCACTGGGTATCAAAGCAACCAAAGACATTTGATCTTTTAAAGATAATAAACAATGGAGGCAGGTTTTATAATTGTTCTCAACTTGAGATCAAGCGATCTCACTAAGACAGAGCTGGCAGGGATGAGAAACCTTTTCTCTGCCAAGGGCCATCTGGTTATTTATAACATTATTTGCCGGCCATACAAAATTAGCAACTTGAAAATTAGTCTGCTATCGATGTATTGAATTTAGAGTTCTGCCTGTGTTTGCCTTGGCAGGGCCACACTAAATGGTTTTGTGGGCTTAGTACGGCCCACGGGCTGGACATTCCCCACCCCTTTAGTGCACAGGGCAGAGCACTCCAGAGGACAAAGGCAGGGAGAGGAAACGTCAGATTTCCTCAAAGGGTCTCCTTGAGCACCCAGTGGAGGTACTGATCACCACAAGAAGGCGAGGAAAGCACTTGAGGCTGGAAAAAGAAGCACGTGAAAGGATGAGAAGGAATGGAGAGCAGCGGTCACACAGGGCCACAGGAGTGTTCACATCCTCCAGACAGAACTGCGCAGCTCACAACGCAGCAGCACAGGCTTCGGAAGGTCCTTGCACTGCGGCACAGCAGTTCAAGCCGCAGCCTGAAACTGCCGGCTCCCATATGAGTGCTGGCTGGAGTCCTGGCTGCTCTGCTTCTGATCCAGCTCCCTGCTAATGCTCCTGGGAAAGCAGTAGGAGATGGGTCCTTGTCATCCCTGTGGGAGCTTCAGATGGAGTACCTAGCTCCTGGATTTGGTCTGGCCCCGCCTCGGCCACTGTGGTCATTAAAGGAGTAAACCAGGAGATGGGAGAACTTACCAGGTAAGAAAATATGATGATTAATAGAAAGCAATCAAAATTACCCAGAAATCACACAGATGGGAGAGGGCACAGAAAAGACAGTTATTCTAATTGTAGTCAATATGTTCAGAGAGACAAGCAGGAATATGGAAAAGATAAATATATTTTGAAAACAACACAAAATGAGTATTCATGTACTGTGGGGCAACTTCAAACTGCCTAATACACACATAATTTGTATCCATTTAGAAAGGAAGACACAGAAAATAAGTTTGAAGAAACAATATTCAAATTTCCCTACACCCTATGCAGGATAAACTCTAAGCATAAAAAGCATGAAGAAACATACACCAAGACACATCTTAATCAAATTACTCAAGATCAGTGGTCAAGAAAATGTCCAAAAGCAATCATTTGAAGATAAATGCCACGTAGAGGAACAAAGGTAAGGATGACAATCGCAAACACACAACCAAAAACACAGCGAGAGCAACATCCTTTAATAAGTTTAATGAAAAACCATCAGTATAGGGTTATACATCCTACAGAAATATCCCTCACAACATAAAGTCAAATAAAGGCTTTTCAAAGTAAAAGAAAGAAAAGGCAAAGAAAGTAGAATTTTCCACAGAGAAAACTGCAGGCCCAGAAAGGTTCATTGGTGAATTTCTATCAAATATTTAAGAAATAGAACTAATCTTATAAAGTCACCATTAACCTGATATCAAAATCAAAGTCAATGTAAGAGAAGAAAGCCACGGCTCATTTTTCCTAAAGAACAATGTAAAAGTCATAAACAAAATGACAGCAAACAGAATTCACTATATATTAAAAAGTCAGTGCATTGTGACCAATTAGGCCTTATCCTAAGACTGCACGGTTAGTTTATCATTCTGAAAACAGTGTAATTCACCATATTAACAAACTGAAAAAGAAAGAAACGACATGGCCAGCATTGAAGAATGCATAAAGAGCATTTAACAAAATGTAACATTTAATCTTTAATATAAAAAAGTTTTTTCAGCAAACCAGAAATATAAGGTAAATTCCTCAATCTAATCAAGAGCATCTACAAAATGTAGAACTATCATCACACTTAATGTGAAAGACTGAATGCTTCCCCCTAAATCAGAAACAGGCAAGGATGTCCACTCTCTGTATCTCTTTTCAGTATTATACTAGAGATTCTAGACAATGCAGTATGGCCAGAAAAGGAAATAAAATCGTTCAGATTGGAAAAGGAAAACTGCTTTTCGTCACAGCCAACATGATTCCTTCATATAGAAAAATCATACAAAACTAATGAAATCGGCCAGCACTGCAGCTCAATAGGCTAATCCTCACCTGCAGCGCCAGCATCACAGGTTCTAGACCCCATCGGGGCGCCAGATCCTGTCCCAGTCACTCCTCTTCCAGGCCAGCTCTCTGCTGTGGCCTGGGAGTGCAGTGGAGGATGGCCCAAGTGCTTGGGCCCTGCACCCGCATGGGAGACCAGGAGAAGCACCTGGCTCCTAGCTTTGGATCAGTGTGGTGTGCCGGCTGCAGCGGCCATTGGGGGGTGAATCAATGGAAAAAGAATACCTTTCTCTCTGTCTCTCTCTCTCTCACTGTCCACTCTGCCTGTCAAAAAAAAAAAAAAAAAAAAAACTAATTAAATCTAGTGAATCAAGTTGTAGGATATAATATCAATACATAAAAACTGACTATTTTTTCTATCGATATAATAGTAAATGTAAATTAAATTTAAAGTATGTAATTTATAATATCAGACAATATGAAATATGGAAAAATGGAACAAAAATGTGATGGATTTGTACACCAACAACTATAAAGCATTGCTGAGAAAAATTAAAGACCTAATAGCAGAATGGGCTAATGTGTTGGAAAAAACATTACTAAGATGTCAGCACTTACCAAATTGACCTATGGATGTAATTGAATCCCAATCAATAAACCATTCAGATTTTTTTTGTAGAAATTAACAATATGATTTTATTTTATTTTTTTTGAGTTACAGTATTTATTTACAGACTTCATTTAGAAGCTTTAGTTCTGTAAGTGAAATGCCAGTATTCTGTTCATTCGATCCCAAGATGAACACTCACATCTAAATATTCCCCCAGTTGGGCTACTACTACAAGGCAGTCTCATGGAAACTGTTCATCATCTCTAACAGCAAGGAAGGACATGCAGCACATGAGGCCAACCATGGCTGAAGCCAGAGAAAGGGAACAGCACGCTGATGGAAGCCACTCCCAGCCCCAAAGGGGTGCAGGGCTTCTCCATGAGCCACGCACCTCCCCTCGTGTCTTGGTAACAATGAAAGTGGTAGTGTTGCTGCTTAATTATAGTGGCACGTGAAGAGCTGACAGACTGCTGCAAGTTTACGTCACGTAGCAAGTTCACAAGCTCTGTATCCTCCCCTCTTGGTTACCACTGTGGCCAGGCAGACTCCTACCGTCCTTTGCCTTCACTGCTGTCACTATCGCTGTCACTCTCACTGTCACTGCTCTGTGCAGTTAGGTTGCCCAGGGCTTCCTTCTGTTCCTGGGTGATTGTAAATTCAGTCGTTACTCTCTGGGTGAGGGCCTCACACACAGGTAAGCTGAAGGCAGACGCCAGCTTCACCACCTCAGTGGCCTGGGCGGGGCTGCTGGAGGCTTTTGCACTGTCCATGAACTCAGTCAGCAAGTCATTTCTAGGGATCTTATTATGCTTCTTGAAAATTCCAAACATGTTCCAGGCTTCCTGAGTTCTTCCAGCCCTTAAATACAGAATAGCTATACAGTTGAGAGGACTGGCTGGCCAATTGGGAGCATTCTGTCTGGCATCCTGGCTTTCATACGTGGATTTGATATCCGCGGCACAGTCAGCAAACGCCACCTGAAGCTCTGGTGGGTGCTTATCTCTTGCCATGAGCTCCAAGATCTCTTCTCTCAGGTCTTTGCGGAAAGTGTGACCATATTCTTTACTATCTTTCCAAATTTGAGGAATCACTTCTAGTCGATTGGCCACATCCAATGCTTGGGGAAGATCTATCAATGTCTGAGAGCTGGGAAAGAAAACAGAAGGTATCAGGTCCTTGTACCACTTCAAGGTGACATCGATTTGTTCCATTAGACAAAGCAAACTGAAAAACTTGGAATAATAGAAATTACGCCGATAATCGGGTCCAAGGAATTTCCGGTTGTCTCCAGTGTTCAAAAGGCCATGTATTTTGTAAGCAAGTTCTAGATCTCTGAGCGATGAGCAAACTCTCATGGCTGACTGAAAAAACAAATCATCATCCGGGTCCTTTGGAGAAAATCTCTTTCCTGTTAATTCATTCATTATGTCATAGATGATGAAAGATGATTCTTTTGAGGAGTCATGTTGATAAAACAGCTGAATAACATGGTGATATGTTGCAAGTGACGGTTCGATTCCGATAGCTTTCATTTCACGTAAAGTTTGTAAGCCCAGCATTCTTCCAACTGCACAGAATCTTCGGAGAGATTTCAGAATGGTGTTAGAGATTTCAGAATGGTGTTGAAAGTCTGCAGATTGGGTTTCACATTCTGTGCAACCATTTGTTTCAGCAGCTCCAATATATTATTCCATTTGTCCTCAAATTTTTCATTTGCCACCAATGCTGTTGCTTCGATCAAAGCATTGAAAGTGTACACATCAGCATGGAGTCTGTTGTTTAATAACTCTGTGTACAAGTTTAATGCCTGCTTATGTGCTCGGTACTTCACCATTCCTCGGATCATTGTACAGTAGGAATGTGCATTTTTCTCTGGCATTAGAGCAAAGATTCTCTCAGCATTGTTTTTTACTCTCCAAATAACTCCAAACTTCTTCCTAGGCTTCTCAGCATTTTCGTTTGTAGTCTCTTCCAATTCTTCTGACTGTTCTCTTTGTTGAAAATGAAAATCAACTGAGGGTTCTTGGTCACCATAATAACATAATAAATCCAAAAGACTATTAGTTGTTTCAAGAGACACAGTGGTTCCTGCTTGTAAGAGTTGGTCAAACATGTCCACAGAAGCTTTGACTTTTCTGAGCTTGATTCTTTCCTTAAGAGCAGCTTCACTTACATCTTCAATTTGAGGTTCAAAATACTCAGGCATTAAACACGGTATATGAGGTTCAGCTATGTCCTTCTGAAAATACTTGGGATATGAATTAATAATAAATTTTGCTGCACTTTCTCCAGACTTCTTTGCCAATAAAAATGAACGTCCTTCCAAAGAGGATGTTGGTATGAGGTAAGGATCATCTTGAAATGAATAAGGGACAGCTGTAGGGTCCCTGTTTACCGTGGATGCAAGCGCCTGAAGAACAGCCACTTTATCCCAAATTTTCTTTTTGGGAATGACCACTTCTTCAATCCCTGTTGTATCAGTTTCTTCAATCTTTGAAAGAGTTGCACTTCCAGAGTAAAGTCTGCAACCGGGTGCCTTTTCACACAGCGCTACCCGCCGACCGCTCAGTGGTAGGCCGAGCCCGCTGCGGACTCCCAGCCAGCGAGCAGACGCCACCACCGCCGCCATCTTTGGCGTCCTCGCAGAGCATAGAAATTAACAATATGATTTTAAATTCATATGGAAATGAAGGAAACATAGAACAATCTACAGAACTTTGGAAAAGAAAAACACAACTGGAAGACTAACCCTAATCTCTTTTTTCTTTTTCTTTTTTTTTTTTTTTTTTGCCAGGCAGAGTTAGACAGTGAGAGAGAGAGACAGAGAGAGAGTTATAGACAGTGAGAGAGAGAGAGACAGAGAGAAAGGGTTTCCTTCCATTGATTCACGCCCCAAATGGCCGCTATGGCTGGTGCTATGCCGATTCGAAGCCAGGAGCCGGGTGCCTCTTCCTGGTCTCCCATGAGGGTGCAGGGCCCAAGCACATGGGCCATCCTCCACTGCCCTCCCGGGCCACAGCAGAGAACTGGACTAGAAGAGGAGCAACTGGGACTAGAACCCGGTGCCCCAACCGGGAGTAGAATCTGGGGTTCTACATACATACATGGGAGACCAGGAGGAAGCACCTGGCTCCTGGCTTCGGATAGGCGTAGCATGCTGGCTGCAGTGTGCCAGCCTTAGCGGCCATTTTGGGAGTGAACCAATGGAAGGAAGACCTTTCTCTCTGTCTCTCTCTCTCTCACTGTTTAACTCTGCCTGTCCAAAAAAAAAAATATATATATATATATACACACACAAAACTGTACTCAAGCTATAGCATAGACTAACTGTAAAACATTAAACTTTAGAAGTTGAAGTTGAAAACACAGAGGAGAGAATCTTTATGACTGAATAAAGCAAAAACGTCTAAAATGTCATGATCCACAAAAGAATAAAAATTAAACTTCTCTTTGGAAAATATTGCTAAAAGAATAAAAACACAATCCAAAAATAGTAGCAAATACATATATACATACATATGTATATATATAAATATTATAGCTAGAACATAAATAATTCTTGATAATACTCAATAGTAAAAATGTACAAGACTTAAACACTTCATTAAAGAATATACAAATATATAGAGCAAGTTAGCACACAAAAAGGTGTTCAATATCTGTATCATTGGTAAAATTAAAATTATAATGGGATACTGCAATACACCCATTAGACAGCTACTTAAAAAAAAAAACAACTGACTATACCATCAATCCTTAAGCAGCATGTAGAGATCTGGTGGGAATTACAACATAGCCAAAACCATGGATGAATCTCAATCTAATTATACTGAGTGAAAGAATCTTTACCTACCTCCTCATAATTTCTTGAAAAGGTAAACAGACACCAATGTTATACAATCCAGCTATTCCAAGCGAAATGAAAACTTAATATTCATATATAAGTTTTATTTGCAATAGTCAAAATATGGAAACAATAGCCAATGTCAATCAAAGGGTGAATGTATTAAATTGTATATCCATTTAATGAAATTCTACTTAGCAATTAAAAGGCATGAGGGACTCATATCATGATGTTATGACATAGATAATCTCAGGAATATTATGCTAAGTGATGAAACTAAATACAAAAAAATACATCTTGCTTAATCAACTTGTTTACTTTTTTTTTTTTTTTAAAGCATACCAATGGAGACAGACAATGATTGCCTGAATCTAGAAGAGAGAACAGGGAGACAGCAAAAGGGCACAAACGGTCTTTGGGAGATGGCAGGAGTATGCTAACCTGCATGGTGGTGATGGTTGCAGGATCTGAAAATTTACTATAAGTAATTGAATTTTACTTTACAGTGGATGAATTTTATATTTAAGATATACCTTTACAATGATGGGTTTTGGAATGGGCATTTGGTAAAGTGTTTAGGATGCTGCTTGGGATCCTGGTTTGCATATTGGAGTGCCTGGTTTAGGTCCCAGTTCCTCCATTTCTGATCCAGCTTCCTGCTACTGTGCACCCTGGCAAGCAGCACGTGTTGGCCCAAGTACCTTGAGTTCCTGCTATCTGGATTTCTCTAGGGGTTGGCCTGGGCTAACAGTGGCTATTGTTGGCATTTGGGAGTGAGCCAGCAGATGGGAGAGATTCTCCCCCACCCCCATCTCTCTGCTTTATATATACATTGAAAAATAAATTGTCATTTTAAAATAGTTTGAAAAATTAGGAATTTTTAAATGAAAATGAATTATGATATAGACGACCATATGGATGACTCTCAAAATAATTAAACTGACTGAAGGAAGCCAAAAATGAATATGTAGTATGTGGCTCCATTTATACAAAATTCTAGATAATTCAAACTAATGTATAGTGACAACTGAAGAACAGTGATTGTCTGGGGAAGAATGGAGAAGGAGAGCACATACATGAAGGAGGAGAAATTACAAAGGGACATATCTGGGGATAATGGGCATGTTCCCTGTCTTGACTGTGGTGTGAGCCAAAACTTACCAAACCATGCACTTTCAATACATGTAGATCACTGGATACCAATTCTATCCTAGGAAGTGGGTTTTTCTAAGGGATATGAACAGTGTGAAAATTCCAAAAATTAGTTCTTTTTGAACAACAGGTTCAGTGAGATATTTTTCATTTCAAATTTTTAACTTGTTATTATTTTTAATAATTACAATAATGATCTTAGGAATAGTTTACTGCTTCAACAAGAAAGGAGAGCTGCAGGAGCTAGTGGAGTCAAAGGAAACTCATGTTGTTGCTGTCACCACTGAAGGCAGGAGCACCCTGACTGTACCTTAAGACACTGTACGACTCTAGCAGATGAGAAGAGAAAGGTTCTGTATGTCCTGAAGGAGGCAAGGGGGAACAGAACCCTGAGCAGAGGGGTTATTTTTCCTAGGGAAGAAGGACATAAGCGAAACAAAGCAAAGCAGAGCTTAGAGAAAAACTGAGAAGATGTAGACAGAGACACAGAGATTCGTTACCCTGGTAAGGAAGAACTCTATGGTACCTTCAGATCAGGGTCGCCATCTCATCACTAGTTCCACATACCTCTGCTCCCTCTCTTTTCCCCTCACCATGGTAACTAAATGCCCTGGTAGCCTCTGGTCCCAGACAGTTCATACTTGCCAGACTCCTGCTTTGTGGCCCAACCCTCATTCACAGCTGCTGCCTAATAGAATCGTAGAGCTGGGGGTTGGAACCTGCCCTACACACCCAGAGCCCTGGGGGCCCAGAGGAAGCTAAGGAAGACACAGCCTCACTGTTCAAGCCCTGGATTGTGCCAAGATTCTCTGGCAATCCCTATTGCTGTTTCAGATCCTACAGTCCAGAGCCTGACCCAGTCTGGCCGTAGTCCAGCCCCAGGCTCAAACACCAGGCATCTGCTTGTGCTGAGGAAGAACTGTCCATGGTAGCCTCACCTTGGCCCCTGCAGAGACTCAGATGAGGGTAACAGACAGATGCCCGCTGCCAGCGGAATGAGCCCTTCTCAGCTCAGTCAGTCTAAAATGAGACCAGTGGGTCCACTGGTGTCCTATATTGTTTCAAGGGACCTGGTACTTGCATCCTTCACCTGCCATATCCTTGGTAGTGCAGGTGGATCCACATAGCTGCTTTCTGCCTTTGGGGTCTGTCAGATACCCCTGTTCCATCAGACTTCGACCTTGTCCATACACTCTTGGGTATATGGCTGTGGTTCAGAAGCTCTATGTAACTCTTGCCTCTTCCAACAGGCTGCTTCCTCTTCCAATCCAGTTCTCTTCACCTGACCCCCAGGCGCTGACCATTATCCTAACAGTCAACAACCTGCCTTCAGGTAGTATCACTGATAGGTCAAGCTCAGCTTGATAGCTCCCTCAAGACCTAAGGTCCTGCAGCTCAAATACCTCCTACTAGCACACGGTCTCAGTAAACTTCCCCAGACCCACTCATCACTGTGACTCCCCAGCTCCAAGGACCCTCAGGGTAAAGGTGTCAAACATTCTTTATTCTTATGCCCATCCCTGTGCCCAAATAAAATGAGCAGTATTGTTTAAGGAAGTCAAAGCACAGAAAATGGGAAAACCAATATGTCTTGTAACAGTTGAACATCTCCAACTAATACATTAATATATGTAGATTTTCCCTATGTTTTAATTATTTATTTGAGAGGTTGAAACTTAAAAACAGAAAGAGAGAGCACTCGATCCACTAGATAACCTTCAAATGCCACAATGGCCAGGTTGGGCCAAGGCCAAAGCTGGGAGCCAGGAATTGCAATCTTTATCTCCCACATGGGTGGCAGGAACCCAACTCTTTGAGCCACCACTGCTGCCTCACTGGACCTGCATTAGTGGAAACCTGAAGCCAAGAACCACAGCCAGAAATCGAACCTAGGCACTCCATTGGGAGATGCAAAGATCTTAACTGCAGAGCTAAATGCACACTCCCTAGATGTTTATTGAATTTTTAATGGTCACTTTCAAAATTTTACACAATTATACTGCAAAATTCTTCACTTCTACCCAACCAATTTTCTCAATGAAACAGTCCACCTTTATTCATAGAAGAATGTTTTCCTATATTTGCATCAAGGTAAAAATCTTGTATTTTACTATTTTTCCCCTATAATACTTGTGTGATAAATATTTTCCTAATTTCCCACCTCAAATGAAAAGTGAAAGTGGATTGAATTCATGCATCAGATTACTGAACTAGAGGTTACTTCATCATTCTCTGATTGTGAACATTCATTTGGTTTCCAGCTCTTGTTATTACTCTTACAGGTAATGCTACTATATCATATATTTGGACAGGTAAGATTTATCTTTTCAAAAATTATTGTCAGCCAAAAACCTTCCCACAATGTGTTTGCAAGAATAAAGCTACATACATTTTAATGTTGCCTAAAATAATGCCCAACTAATCAATATTGAAGGATTGATTAATCGTGTCTTTAATGCCATTTCCATTGCCTGAGGCACCTTTCCTTTAAGATTCATCAACATTTCCCCCAGGCTTGGGCTCTGTTGAAAGATACGTAATTTATTTCAAAGCTAATTTAATTTCTATTTCTTTCTTTATAAATGATACTAAGTTTTTTAAAAAAATGTATGTGTGTCTATTAGAGACTTGGTAGTATCTTCAGAGA